TCTTCTTCTTCTTCTTCTTCTTCTTCTTCTTCTTCTTCTTCTTCTTCTTCTTCTTCTTCTTCTTCTTCTTCTTCTTCTTCTTCTTCTTCTTCTTCTTCTTCTTCTTCTTCTTCTTCTTCTTCTTCTTCTTCTTCTTCTTCTTCTTCTTCTTCTTCTTCTTCTTCTTCTTCTTCTTCTTCTTCTTCTTCTTCTTCTTCTTCTTCTTCTTCTTCTTCTTCTTCTTCTTCTTCTTCTTCTTCTTCTTCTTCTTCTTCTTCTTCTTCTTCTTCTTCTTCTTCTTCTTCTTCTTCTTCTTCTTCTTCTTCTTCTTCTTCTTCTTCTTCTTCTTCTTCTTCTTCTTCTTCTTCTTCTTCTTCTTCTTCTTCTTCTTCTTCTTCTTCTTCTTCTTCTTCTTCTTCTTCTTCTTCTTCTTCTTCTTCTTCTTCTTCTTCTTCTTCTTCTTCTTCTTCTTCTTCTTCTTCTTCTTCTTCTTCTTCTTCTTCTTCTTCTTCTTCTTCTTCTTCTTCTTCTTCTTCTTCTTCTTCTTCTTCTTCTTCTTCTTCTTCTTCTTCTTCTTCTTCTTCTTCTTCTTCTTCTTCTTCTTCTTCTTCTTCTTCTTCTTCTTCTTCTTCTTCTTCTTCTTCTTCTTCTTCTTCTTCTTCTTCTTCTTCTTCTTCTTCTTCTTCTTCTTCTTCTTCTTCTTCTTCTTCTTCTTCTTCTTCTTCTTCTTCTTCTTCTTCTTCTTCTTCTTCTTCTTCTTCTTCTTCTTCTTCTTCTTCTTCTTCTTCTTCTTCTTCTTCTTCTTCTTCTTCTTCTTCTTCTTCTTCTTCTTCTTCTTCTTCTTCTTCTTCTTCTTCTTCTTCTTCTTCTTCTTCTTCTTCTTCTTCTTCTTCTTCTTCTTCTTCTTCTTCTTCTTCTTCTTCTTCTTCTTCTTCTTCTTCTTCTTCTTCTTCTTCTTCTTCTTCTTCTTCTTCTTCTTCTTCTTCTTCTTCTTCTTCTTCTTCTTCTTCTTCTTCTTCTTCTTCTTCTTCTTCTTCTTCTTCTTCTTCTTCTTCTTCTTCTTCTTCTTCTTCTTCTTCTTCTTCTTCTTCTTCTTCTTCTTCTTCTTCTTCTTCTTCTTCTTCTTCTTCTTCTTCTTCTTCTTCTTCTTCTTCTTCTTCTTCTTCTTCTTCTTCTTCTTCTTCTTCTTCTTCTTCTTCTTCTTCTTCTTCTTCTTCTTCTTCTTCTTCTTCTTCTTCTTCTTCTTCTTCTTCTTCTTCTTCTTCTTCTTCTTCTTCTTCTTCTTCTTCTTCTTCTTCTTCTTCTTCTTCTTCTTCTTCTTCTTCTTCTTCTTCTTCTTCTTCTTCTTCTTCTTCTTCTTCTTCTTCTTCTTCTTCTTCTTCTTCTTCTTCTTCTTCTTCTTCTTCTTCTTCTTCTTCTTCTTCTTCTTCTTCTTCTTCTTCTTCTTCTTCTTCTTCTTCTTCTTCTTCTTCTTCTTCTTCTTCTTCTTCTTCTTCTTCTTCTTCTTCTTCTTCTTCTTCTTCTTCTTCTTCTTCTTCTTCTTCTTCTTCTTCTTCTTCTTCTTCTTCTTCTTCTTCTTCTTCTTCTTCTTCTTCTTCTTCTTCTTCTTCTTCTTCTTCTTCTTCTTCTTCTTCTTCTTCTTCTTCTTCTTCTTCTTCTTCTTCTTCTTCTTCTTCTTCTTCTTCTTCTTCTTCTTCTTCTTCTTCTTCTTCTTCTTCTTCTTCTTCTTCTTCTTCTTCTTCTTCTTCTTCTTCTTCTTCTTCTTCTTCTTCTTCTTCTTCTTCTTCTTCTTCTTCTTCTTCTTCTTCTTCTTCTTCTTCTTCTTCTTCTTCTTCTTCTTCTTCTTCTTCTTCTTCTTCTTCTTCTTCTTCTTCTTCTTCTTCTTCTTCTTCTTCTTCTTCTTCTTCTTCTTCTTCTTCTTCTTCTTCTTCTTCTTCTTCTTCTTCTTCTTCTTCTTCTTCTTCTTCTTCTTCTTCTTCTTCTTCTTCTTCTTCTTCTTCTTCTTCTTCTTCTTCTTCTTCTTCTTCTTCTTCTTCTTCTTCTTCTTCTTCTTCTTCTTCTTCTTCTTCTTCTTCTTCTTCTTCTTCTTCTTCTTCTTCTTCTTCTTCTTCTTCTTCTTCTTCTTCTTCTTCTTCTTCTTCTTCTTCTTCTTCTTCTTCTTCTTCTTCTTCTTCTTCTTCTTCTTCTTCTTCTTCTTCTTCTTCTTCTTCTTCTTCTTCTTCTTCTTCTTCTTCTTCTTCTTCTTCTTCTTCTTCTTCTTCTTCTTCTTCTTCTTCTTCTTCTTCTTCTTCTTCTTCTTCTTCTTCTTCTTCTTCTTCTTCTTCTTCTTCTTCTTCTTCTTCTTCTTCTTCTTCTTCTTCTTCTTCTTCTTCTTCTTCTTCTTCTTCTTCTTCTTCTTCTTCTTCTTCTTCTTCTTCTTCTTCTTCTTCTTCTTCTTCTTCTTCTTCTTCTTCTTCTTCTTCTTCTTCTTCTTCTTCTTCTTCTTCTTCTTCTTCTTCTTCTTCTTCTTCTTCTTCTTCTTCTTCTTCTTCTTCTTCTTCTTCTTCTTCTTCTTCTTCTTCTTCTTCTTCTTCTTCTTCTTCTTCTTCTTCTTCTTCTTCTTCTTCTTCTTCTTCTTCTTCTTCTTCTTCTTCTTCTTCGGGGGGGGATTCGCTGCTACGCGGCCAAGTGCAAAAGCGGAAGTAGCCTTCGGAACACGTTACGAAAAGCCCGAATTGAAGAGAACTGCTCACGCTCGCGAACAGAAACTTAACTTTAATTTCCGCGGAATCGAGTTATTTCGAAAGTAATCGTTTCCGTGCCGTTGCATCCGGCGCGACGTCTCATCTTCTCGTCTCGAATACGTGGAAACCGAACCAGATATGTGGCTTCCGGACTTCTTCTACCTTTTTTTTTTTTTGCAGATTACGCCAGCGACATTGAGAAAGATCGCCGAAACGAGTTTCGTAATTTTCCCTTTTCGACCTCTTGCCTGCTTTCGGCTCTTTTAAACCTGTGCGTACTTACTGTACTTTTACAGCTTCGTTTCCCACCGTTACTTCGCCGCTTTTTCTTTGATGTCTGACGAACGAAGATACGGCTCCATGTGAAGTTTCTTTTGATAGAATCGGATGCAAATGTTGGGGAATGATTGGAATTGAAATATTCTCTCCTGGGATTGGATGGTTTACTGAGATAAGGGGATGATTAGTTATACGGGGGTTTTCTGTTCACTTTTCGGCTGTTTTCAAGTAGGAGCTTAAAAAACGCATTTCTATCAGGAAGTTCCGAAATATCTTCATTTTTAAGCAATCAGTTAAAGAAAAATCGAGATAACGTTTATCTGTATTGGTGAACTGTAAAGGAATTTTAGAAGGTTTCATGAATCCCAGTAAAGAATTTAGAAGTAAGAAGGTTAAATTAAATGCAGAATAAATTAAATTATTTGACAGAAGTACGTACGCCCTTTTGGTTATCAGGGTATAATTAAATTTTGTTTGATGTTTTGTAAATCCTATTTAAAGTCTGAATTTAATATTGCAAGAATATTTGTAGGTAAAGAGTAAGGTGTTTATTTGAACTATTTTCTTTCTGTTCTATTCTCTATCAGAAACACAGCAGGGTCCCAACTGACCCTATTCGTGCACATCTAGCGAAATAAGTTTCAATTTAAGCTAACGATTTAAAGCACGAACGAACGAAGGAACGGACAATGTTCAATATTTCTACAACTCCCGTCCAATTCTCCCGGCAAAGCAACTTATTCATTTCCAAACTGCGTCACGCGACGTCGATGGGGGGGTAAAAAAATGCAACAAACCCTTTCGCGAGGAAATCGTGCCACAGGCATCGAGCACGTCGTCAATTTTTCGCCGTTTCGACGATCGAAAAATCGACAAGCGTCGCATCGATTTTTCAACAGGCTCGGGTTCGGTCGAGCCGCAACCCCGGGCTCGTCCCTCGGTAGGGACAAAAAGTGGCGGAAAAAAGAGAAAGACAAGGTGGGAAAAAAAGAACCACCGCCCTTTTCGTTCGTCAGAAATTTCCGATAGAGTCGAACGAGCACAGCGGAAGATAATTTCGCAGACATCTCGCCAGTTTCCGGTGCTTACCGCCGGAGAACATGGTCAGTGAACAAGCGAGAGAGGAAGAGGAGAGAAAAAGCTAGATAGGTGAGCGAGAGAGAGAAAGACGAGAGGGAGAGAAAGAGAAAGAGATAGAGCTAGAAGGACGGAAAAGAAGAGTAGTAGAGATAGAGCGAGTGAGAGAGGGAGGGACAGGAGAGGTAGAGCAAAGAGGAGAGAAAAAGCTAGATAGGTGAGCGAGAGAGAGAAAGACGAGAGGGAGAGATAGGGAGAGAAAGAGATAGAGCTAGAGGGACGGAAAAGAAGAGTAGTAGAGATAGAGCGAGTGAGAGAGGGAGGGACAGGAGAGGTAGAGCAAGTAAAAAAGAGAAAAAGAATGAGTGGTAGAGCGAAAGAGAAAAAAGGGTGTGAGAAGGGAGAGATAGAGCAAAAAAGAAAGAGGGAGAGATAGAGCAAGAAAGAGAAAAATAGGGAGAGATAGATCTAGAGAGACAGAAAAGAAGAGTAGAATAGATAGAGCGAGTGAGAGAGAGGGGAAGGAAAGGTAGAGCAAGCAAAAAAGAGGGAGAGATAGAGCAGGAAAGAGAAAAATAGGGAGAGATAGAGCTAGAGAGACAGAAAAGAAGAGTAGTAGAAATAGAGCGAGTGAGAAAGAGAGGAAAAAAAAAACGAAAGAGGAACAGATAGAGCTAGGTAGACAGAAAATAAGAAAGAGAGGGAGAAAACGAAAACTGTCGTATTTTCGTCAAATATTTACACCGACGATACCATCAACGAATGCTACACCGGGCTAAGGACTGATATTTTTCGGCCGGGTAATACGCGAACAGCCGCCAGTCACGTCGGTTTTATCGAAGATTTTTCGCGAAACGAGATTTCCGGGTGCCGATGTGTCGTCGCCGTTTGACGCACTCGATCGTGCGGCACATTGATCCGACTGATTTATTGTCGTTGCAGAGGAGTGCACGGCGGACAGATGCAGCAAGGTTCCCTGTTCCCATGGCGGGAAATGCTTGACTACCGGAGGCGACACAGCCGTCTGCCTCTGCCCCCTCGGATACACCGGCGATCTCTGCGAAACCAGGGTGGATTTGCAGGTAAATATATCCTACGGTGTAATGAACTCGAACAAGATTTATAGCAGGGTCTGGAGTTTTCGTGGACCACGGTGAGTATCGTTACGACGGACAGAGAAGTTTTGAGGGAATAGAGCGATCGATGTTCCGATGTTCCACTTACAAGAACTATCATGTGCCACTGAAAATATGGAGAAATATTTTGCACGATAAATTTATTAAATACAGTGTGTAAGAGATGTTTCCAGACCCAGAAAATTCCCTGGGGTATGAAAAAAAAAAAAATATATTGACAACCATGCTAGGTAACTTTCAGCATCTGCTATGAAAAATCCTTAATCAAGTATACTTACTAATTCAAATATAGCATTTATTTAAAAAAAATTAAATGACTGCATTATTCAATTTTTAAAAAAAATGTCAATCCATAAATCAAAGGTTTTTTGCTATCTGGGTGGAAAACTTTTGTCACACACTGTATATAAAGGTACATGTTATCTCGTGTAAAAGAAGAATCAGAACATGTAGGTGAAGAGCGATTAAATTCACCGAGGACAATGGTTCGTGGCGTTCGAAAAATTTCACGAGCGCTGGCAGGATCTAGACCATTCCTGACGACGCTTATGGTTTGAGACACGACGCGACGCGAGGCGTCGCGTCGTTGCCCTGCTCTCCTTTCTCGCGAGTAAAAGCTACGACCCAATGATAAGAAGATCCCACGGGCCTGTACAGGAAAGTGACCCTGTATTATGCGAGAGAGCAGCAACTCGATAGATCCCGCGAGGAAAAGCATTTTCTCGCGACGTGGAAAGGATCGTTCGCTTTGCTTATCGTCGCTCCTTCGATGTGACAAATGGCCCCACTGAAATCTTGCCTCCGTTTTTCTCGCGGTAATAAAGGAATCGCACCGTCGACGAGCCACGATGTTTGCTGCTCCAGAGAATTTTCTATTATCCTATTTCTGTCCCTGATAACGTCCACCGGGGTGTTTTTAATTTGCCAAGGAGAACGTGAATTTCTCAACCATCGATTCTCTCGTGAAACTGAAACGTCAAATATAGAAAATATTGGACATTCGGAAATTAATCGAATTACTAAATTCACCACTTTTCCTCCTATGCAAATATTATGAAATTTGTGAAATAAGCGAATGAAGTTACATTTAATACTAACTTCACAAATTGATTAAATTACCTGGTATTAAAATTTTTATAAAATAAGCACTCAGAACCTAAATGCAGAGTTAAGTCCGGAAACGTTGATTGACTGTCGAAATTGGCGTTTCGATTTTTCAAGAATGTCCAGAACGGGGGGTGTCGGGAAATATCAAACGCAGAACGAGAGTAATAACACGGGGTGAAATTACAATGTTACGAATTTCGATGGAAACTAGTTTTCCCCGGCGCGATTTCGATGTCAAAGCCACGAACGATTAACTATTACGCGACTTGAAATACTCCTCCTCCCCTCCCCTCTGTAACGTTCGCCGATTAATTAAATCTTGACCAGGCTCGAGAGTTCGCCGTAAACTTTACGTTTAAACCTTTATCGCGGCGCGAACGTGCGGTTACGGCGCCGCGGCGAGCTTTTGAAGTCGCCGCCGATAGCGTTCTACCTCGGAAAATTCCATTGGACTCGTCGACGATGTGTATTGTACGGAATTAAAGGAAAAGTCGATCGAGGGTTTTCGAGGGTCGAGTTTGGATTTCGAACGATGTTTGTTAACTTTCCTCCTTCTTGGCTATTTATCCTCCGAAGCTGTGCTTTCAAAGCGGTGGGAGCTCCTTCCTCTTTAACTATCGCGATTGATTAATTCTCCCGTGTAATTTTGAAGTGCAAGCAGGAAACCTCCACCTCCTCCGAGGCAGAGAGAGAGAGAGAGGAGTTTCAAATGCAGTCGAAAGTTGTGTCAACAGATCATTCGCGAAAGGGTTGTTTATAGGGATCGAAAGGAACCGAGAAGGCAACAGAGAAAAAAATAATAAAAAATTGAAACGATACAATATTTCCCCGCAAATATTTGCCGAATATAGATAATTAAAGCCCGGAGTAAATAACTGAAAAATATCAATAAAAATGTTAAACCTCGACTTTTCCACTCGACTGTTCATTTATTCGTCCCTCTTTTCACGGAAACGCACGCGTCGCTACGTGCGCTATATTAAAATCACGGGAAAACAAAATCAAATGAGAATGCCACAAAGAAAAATTAATCAGTGGGGAGGGGAAAAAACGAGAAAAGAAGAAATGAGGCACGTTCAATCGCTTGGAAATACATTTCCAAGTCACGTTGGATTTTTTTTTTTCACAAAAAAAAGAAGCTCGTCCGAAAGAGAACAGAGAGACCCGAGAGATAGATCTCGTGAAATTACGAAAGGCACGACGATTTGCCGGGCGAAAGAACGTTTTGAAGAAACCCTCGAAATCGCAGTTAGTATCGACGGTGCGACTGGTAATCGTGTGCAAAGTGTCACGCTTAATTACATCCAGCGCGGAATGCCTCGCATTGAAGTCTTGAAACGCGCGACTGGTCGATTTCGAGCGGATTAAAAGCGTGTGACGTAACGGGAATATTTTATAGTTAGGTATATATATATCGAATTAAACGGAGCGGTGACGTGTTTTTTTCTTCCTTTCTCGCCGGTTTTCCCCGATTGAAATTTTCGACAGAAATTTTCCACCGTCGTTTTATTTATTTCCACATCCCCACCCAACCGTCCTTCAGCGTGGTACTACCATCGTCGCTTCCGCTTTGGAAAAGTTGGAACGAGCACCGAGCATAATACCGATCAATTTGTCCTCTCGTCCGCAGACGCCACTTCACGTATGTGCACGCACGTGTGTACGTCGAAATACACCATGGATTATACGCTGCTATGTATATATATATATATGTATATATATTGCACGGTATCGATTATAACAATGGCGGAGGCATTAAAGCGCAGCGTAGACGCGTGTGGAGATGGATCTGATAAAATTGGTACCGGTTTGTCGGTCGGTATTACTTCCGGTTCATTTGAGCAGTAATTTGAACGCCAACAGGTATATACCTAGGCGATTAAAATTGATACTCTTTCTACTCTGCTCTTGTACGTTTCAGCTTTTTGATATTTCAAGTTTCCTCTTCTTCTTCTTCTGTTATACGCACTTACTTATACTTCGTTCAGAATTCATCTTTTCGAATCATTCCCCACTTGTAATTTACTTTATCATCTTGTAAACTCTTCCACCTCATTGTTCGGTCTTATTCGCGAGCTCTTTCTCCGCCTGTGTATTGTTCTACTCGAGAAGTTTCTTAAAAAAGTTTGTTTTCTTTTTCACCGTTCTTATTTTCCTCTGCTCGCTTCTCGCCGTTATAAATCATAAAAATTTCCCTTATCCTTATCTTCATCTTCATCCCCGTCTTCGGCGAGCGTGCGCATTCTTCTGGCGAACATCGCGGGAGATAAGAGAGTTTCCGGTTCTGACAACGCGGGTTGCTGCTGTTGCAGGAGTAAGAATAGAGGGAGAGGAACAGAGTGTAGACGAGTTTCGTGTGTGATTGAAACGCACGGCGGGGTAGGAAATCAGCCGTAAAAAATTGGGAATAAAATCGACGATGGATAATGTTGCGACGGCGTTACACGCTTCGAGCGACTGCAATTGATTTTGCTCGCCTTGAAATATTTTGTGCCAAGGTTTCTTCTGTAACCTTTACCCGCATGAACGAGGCGTAGGTTTTTTTTCGTATACAATTTTGGGTTCAACGAAATAACTGAAATTGTTAAATATCAAATATTTGTTTTGCAGGTTTTCCATTACATTAACGTATTGCATAAAAATTGTAAGTGTATTTATCGTGAATAAAAAACAGTTAAATGAACGTTCGTCAAGTTTTAACGCTATTTACGCTGCAACGCGAGAACTAAAATTTGCGAGTAACTAGTTAGGGTTAACCTAATCTCACTTTTCACATATTTCACTCGAGTGCTCGAACAAAAATTGGTCTCAATTTCTATCAGTAGATAAACAACAAATTCTTAAAAAAAAACTAATTCATGCGAGAACTAAAATTTGCGAGTAACTAGTTAGGGTTAACCTAATCTCACTTTTCACATATTTCGTGGCTGAATAGTTTCTTTAAGAATCCCTTATTTATCTACCCACCGAATCCCAAATTAAGGGATTCTAATTATCAGATTAGGAAATTTTTCTCCGAACACTCAAGCAAGAAATATACATCCCAGTGTTCGCGAAAGGGTTAAGTAACACAACCCACCCCTATCCAATCCGCCAATAAAATTGGCGAGCAGGAAATATTCAAATGAAGTGTTCAAAAATAGGGCAGCTCGTTCTCCGCGTATTACGCTACAGCACGCGTATAATTTTTCCTTCCATCAGCGGTTGGTTCCCTTGTTGAAGCTAAATTTCACCGAAGAACGTTACATCCATTCTCTCGTGTTCACCGGCTCGTTATAGTTACGGAGGCCGGGGGCGTATCCATTTCTTCTTCGGGCACGGTGTAACGAAACGCGCCGATGGGATTTATGCGGGGGATATAACGTGCTGCAACTGCGTTTAATTTACTGGCTGTATCTACACGTGGGAAGCGGCGCGGGAGCACCGCCACTTCCTGTTCGGTAACTACGTCATTTCGGAAATTGACGCCGCGAGATAACGAGAAAAATAACGGGTCGGGGGCCAGGCGGCCGGGTGAAATAATGTCGTTGCCAGACGACTTCGAACACGTTGGAGGAAGAAGACGTTGCAGGGGAAAACGGGCAACTCCGAGCGTCCTAACGGCCGCGATTTTTCTTGCTCGCCGATGAAACATCGCGAGATTTACGCTGTTTTCCCGAGCTCCACAGGTTTTCCGCGCGAGGAAAACGACGACCACTTAATTCCCACGGCCTGGGTACACGGTGTTTTTCGAAAGTGTTTTCGGAGCAGAAGTGACATCTTAATAAAGAAGTATATTGGTTTTATGTGTTGCCCGGAAAGGCGGTTATGGCGGGGTTAAATTTATTACGGCCAATAAAATTAAAGTAGTCTTTTGTTCCTTGGCAGATTGTTTATTAGCGCGCATGCAGTGAAATTGGTGTACGACAGAGGTGGTTGTTACGTAGCGTCGAGCAGGGAAAACAAGTTTTTCCTTTAAAACCGGGCTATAAGTATTACTTATCGGTGTATCTATGAAAATTATTGGAAGTGACATTTTTGTTTATCTCAGTGTTCACGGTGCTTTGGAGAAGAGAGGAGGGAAAGTGGTGTATTTAATCATTCGAGAAGGATTGAAGCTCACATTGGGGATTTACTGACAAATTATGTACGATTTTTCAGAAATTTAATTTAAAGTTTAGCGTGCATTACCAGTACCTATGTAATTTTTATGTTTTATCACCAGAATCTAAAAACGAGCATTTTTTAACTTGGTGTCTCGCATGAGTGTACCTGCGATGTATTCAATAGTTGAAGGGTCAAAGGAAAAAGTCACTGGCGATAGTTCACGTGTAATCAATTATCTATTCAAGGCCGCCGAGCAATGTAGTCCCTAGTGATACTTAAAATTATCTACAATTTACTATATTTCTTACTCGTTCCACATTTTGCTATTTTATCGTTGCAACGTCAGAAAAAACAAATTTAAGAAACGAAAGCTTAAACAGCTAAAAACTTTGCAGCAAGAAGGGAGCAGCTCGAAATTTATTAATAAAAACAGTCTTATCGAAATCTTCAATTTTTTCCATTGCGAAGAAAGACAGTGTCCTTTCGAGTATCAAAAAAGATTCCCTCGAGGAAGGAATCTCCGAAAAGTCGTTGGAATAACCGTGGCAAATGAATTGCCCGAGTGCAGGTGCCGTCGTTCAACGGATCCTCTTATCTGCGCTATCCTGGATTGGCCGACACGTCGCTATCCTGGTTGGAATTGGCTGTCACGTTGAAACCAACCGCCGCAGACGGCGTTATACTTTACAATGGCCACCACAGCGACGCTACCGGTGACTTCATCGCGTTGTACCTGTCGTCGGGACATGTTCAGTTCACCTTTGACCTGGGAACAGGCCCGGCTACATTGAGGTAAGTCGTTTTTAGATGCTCTGCACGCGAAATCTTCCTTCGATGTTCCTTCCGCGCAAGTGCACACAGGTATACTGGGTGTTCAGTTATTCACTGGTCTCTTTAACTTTCTTCACGCACCCAAGACAATCTTTACACCGTTTTAATTACTTTGAAAGGTAAAATGGGAAGTAAAATTCGGAATAGAATGTCCTGTGGACAATTATTTTTGATTTAGTTCAAATACCCAAAGGAAATACTTAATGAGACGTAACTTACGTCGCAAAATTATAATAAATGTCCAGAGTGTGAATTTGTGCCCACGTCGTTCCGTATCAATTTTTCAGTTTCGTGTAATTCACAGCATCAGAAATTTGTTTAATTTCATATCACACAATTGGAATATCTTCTTGCCATTCTATTTCCCAGACACTTTGAACGTATGGACATTCGCTCAACTTGAAGGTTTGCATCTCATTAACTATTGATTTCTGACACGACGTTCATAGAAGATGCTTTTAATCACCTCTTCTGAGGAGAGACCAGTGAATAAACCGGACACCCTGTACACGTAGGTACAAGTACACACGTGCGCATAGAGCCCCTTAGACGAGTTCGTTCCTTTCAATTTCCTTCGTAACTCCTTTCAATTCAAACCCTGTCTAATTGAGTCGTTTGCATGCTGACCCTCGTTCAACCAACGACCAATGGGTGAGCGGATATTGTAATTTTATCGGGAACTAGCGTACGAGGTGAAAAAGGGAAGTGGGTCGGCCAGTTATGGGTACCTCGTTCACCGCTTGATTGGATGGGGAAGCGTGTTTTAATTTGTTGAAGGTGGTGGCTTGATTTGTGGTTAGAGTGCTCCGTGGCTTGATAGGGCTTCAAGGAAGTGTATTCAGATCTTTATTCTGTTTTTGTTTTTTTTTTTCTTCTGTTGAAACGCAGATTCAATGGTATTTCGCGGCTTTCTAACCATTCAAATTTGCAGGTAAACGTACAATCGGAAAATATACAATGAATTCATTTACTTGTTTGTACCGTGGAATTGTAATTCGATAAATATTGCATGCAGCTCCCGGCGATCGAAGAAATTTAACAATGACACTGTGTAACAAAGGAAATATGTGGTTTTATAAAAAAGTTTCGACTTGACAAACTTTCGTAAGCTCCATTTTACATATTTTGAAAATGTGTATCGATGTTACTTTAGAGTTTTTAATTTTTCTTTATTCTCGATCACGTGATCGTAATCTTCTGCTAGCCTTTTTAAAAAAATCTTATTCTACATTTTCCACTTGTTTTTTTCATCTAAATTCACCTCTTTTTAGAACGAAAGTAGTCTTCCACTACGTTCCATCGAAATTAATTACCACAAATCACTTCAATTCCTACAACTCCTTGAACCTGAATGAAAACCGCTAAATATATCGTTCCTCGTGTGTCACATTGAAAGCTCCGCCGTTCGATCTTCCATTTCCCTTATCGTTCGCCGAATCTCTCGATTCGTCTGACGGCTAACCGAACGCAATTAAAACTAAAGCGTGAAATGAAAAAAGGAAGAGAGAGGAAAGAAAGTTGAAACCTTGCGTTTCACGGGGGTCATCGGCACGGTACGTGCAAAGCGCGATGCGCGATGGCCGGAATCGAACGAGATCGCGTTGATTACGTCGCTTGTAACGCAGTATAACGAGTTTATGCGCGATGCGATCGATTAACGAAGCTGGACGTCGGTGTCGAAAGAACCAACCGATCGTTTAATCCGTCCTATCGCCAGCTAACGATGTATCGGTGTCGATCGGCCTCATCGCGAATTAAGCCGCTGAATATTCATGAGGGAAAATCAGTGCGCGCGCGGACGCGACCTCGACGGATCAGAGATTCTAATCAGGTCCGGTTAGCTTCTCATTTTTGCTGTTTTCGTTACCAGGATTAACCCCCTTGCCCGCGGAAAATCCTTATTCGAATTCAGGGGATTGAATAGGGAATGACTTTTAGTTTGAATATTCCGTTTCTCGTCCCACCGACGTTTTACTATATCTCGAAGTAATACACTTAACTATACACTCGTAGTACGTTCCTGTTCGTAAGTATTGAGACACTCCACTGATTTTGAAGCGAATTTAAACAGTCCTTAAAAAATTATGAGTTAAAAAAAGAAGGAAAAATGGTAATACTTTCTGTAGGAAGATAACGGGTGTCTTAATGCTTACGAACGCCAGTGTACGTCTTTTTAACCCTAGAGCGGTCTTCGGGTCTTTCTTAACCCACCGCCTTTTTATATTTTTAGTCATTTTTGCTGTTATCAAGTTTACCTTCCTTAACATTATTTTAAACGTTTATTGTCCAGGTTCATATGTCGCGTTGGAAACAAAAATTATTACACTTAAGGTCTTAGGCCCCTTTTGACCCAAAAGTCTTAAGTGTACAGTCAAAACGAAGAACGCAGTAGGGTTAAAAACTGTAGATAGTTACAGCTGACGTAGTAATACGTCTTTTTTAAAACAAAAAAATTGAAATAAACTGCTACTTGTAATAAAAAAGTGTGTCTTGCTGGAAAGTATATGTATAACGATTCGTATCGTTCAATTTGCATACTTTAATTACAGAAACCGTGGTTCCTCGACTTCACACATTCCAGCAATAGTAACTAAACACCTACGCTCTGTTAAATTCTAATTCTTTAGCACAGGATCTTAACCATTCCGTGTGTTACGCAAATGAAACCTGAATATTTACGATTACCGTACTCGGTAATAAGAACGACAGACGTCTGTCTCCACCATAGTTTCCCTCTTAATAATTATTCAACGCAACGGCTTCCTCCTCCTCTTCCTCTTCTTCTTCTTCTTCTTCTACGGTGAACAGATTCCGTTACTCTGAGACGTTACCTGAAGAATCTTCCCGTATCCTCGTACAAGCACACAGCGATACAATTTTTCTTAGACAAAAAAAGTTCGCAGAACAAGGAGAAGGAAAATTATTTTTAATTGGTAACGTTGTATTCTAACAAGAACGTCACTGCTCCTCCGAGGAATTCCTCCTCTCCTCCTCTTCCTCTTCCTCTTCCTCCTCTTCTCCTCTTCTCCTCTTCTCCTCTTCCTCCTCCTCTTCCTCCTCTTCCTCCTCCTCTTCCTCCTCTTCCTCTTCCTCTTCCTCCTCTTCCTCCTCTTCTTCCTCCTCTTCTTCTTCTTCTTCTACGGTGAACAGATTCCGTTACTCTGAGACGTTACCTGGAGAATCTTCCCGTATCGTCGTACAAGCACACAGCAATACAGTTTTTCTTCATCCACGATGTAGTATTTTGCGACAGTGTTGTAAAACTTATGATGTAAGTTTCAGGACAGTCCCCTACAAGCCGCATAAGCCGCCGCAACGAGACAATTGCCCCGGTAAAAGAAAAAAAAGAGGAAAACGCTGCTTTTCACCAAATCGAACGAACCGAACGGAAAGTTCGATTCGAAAATACGTCAGCGAATACGGTGGCCTGTTATCGGGCAGACATTTCGACAATTAAATTACAATTTATAACGACGAAACAATGTTACGCTTCTCGTTACAATAGCAGCGCAGAAAAGCGGCGGTTCCACAGGCGGAAAAATATTTCCCGTTAATTAATCTCGATTCATTTAACATCGGCCATGACTCGAGCTGGTGTTTTTACTTTCGCGAAAATCGAACATCATTCTGTTTTACATACGGAAGCAAACCGGCTGGTATTTGCCCGCTTTATGAAACCCTTTGATAAACAACCTTTTTATCCACGTCGATCTTTCCATTCCACGGCCACATCTCGGCGAAATAATATCCGTGGGCAAACTTCGTTCGCATTCGTCATGACGACCGTTCCTACCGACGCCATTATTTTCACCCTCGCGACTCTGTAATCTTCGAAATCCTCTTGCGCTCTTTCTCCTTTCTCTCTTTTCTCTCGATATTAACCAACCGCGAGGGAATCGGGGAATATTTTGTTGAACAGAAGCATTTTTTGCGCGTGATAAAATATTCATCGGACACGGTATATAAGAATATTTTCGTGAATATTCGACTTCTTCTTTTTAGGACAGTAGAACACTTTCTGTTTCAAGTGAGCGTACTGAGTAACTTATGATTCAGTCAATTTTGATTATTTTCTCCCAGAAAATGTGACGAATATTCTGAAAACATAAATAAATATGTGCACAAAAATTTGTAAAGAAATCATTGCGAGAGCCTATAAAATTACACTCGAGACTAGAATAGTGTCTTACGCGTGCACAACTAATCCTCCAAAGAGTGCAATTATGTTTAATTATTTTCTTTCACCTTTCATATTGCGCTATCCTTTCTATCTTATGGTGAAATTGTAAGCTACAGCACTGTAAGTAAGTGGGAAACTTATTGCTACACGCCTAAGAAATAATTAAAAAAATATTAAATTGAGCTTTTTTGGGATATCAAGTTGAGAAAAATGTGAGCGTCAAGGGGATAACGTATGTAACAAAAAAAAAAAAAAACAGTATATAGAATAGAAGAACTGGAATAATTTGAATTTGATTGGGTGAATTTACTTTTAAAAGAGTCACGCAACATTCGATTCGAGAAAGTTTCACCGTGCCGGCTCACGGGACCGTTCAATAGACGACTTTTCCACCCTTACCGATCGTCCGCGTGGTAACCGCTTGGAGCAGCGAAATATTAGCCATGAGCAAACTTCATTCGCATTCACGACGTTTGACCGGAAAATCACGGCGGCGAGACGCCCATTGTAACCGGTTTTTTCCCTACCCATAGACTCGCCCCATAACCAACCGCGCTTTATTACGACGCGACACGGGAAACGTCGAGCTTTTCCTCTTTTCACCCTAAGCAACGGGACCGAAAATCCACTCCCTCTGTCTGCCAAGAGATTTTCCATCACGAGCAGGCAGATTCTTGCGTTAATATCGCGGGATAGAGCATTGAGAGGCGCGCGTGTTTTCTGAGGTGATTAGGGGAGTACCGTGGGGAGGCTTTTATTATACTCTGTAGCTTATCGTTGCTTCTAAAGAATTCTTTGGCGTTCAAGTGTAATTCTCAACTGGCTGCAGAATTTCTGAAATACGGAAATTACAGTGAAAATGAAGTTCTCAATAATTATTAAGTTTCGATCATTATTATTTCACATATTAGTTCACACACTGTGTGACAGTTTCACAGTGACTATTCACGCTTTATACTTGATGCTTATGATTAGTCATATTTTATTAATACTTAGTTTGCTATTATTTAATATATAAATTTATAAATTACACAGTAAATTAATACCTATATTCTCCTCTTCTTTTGCTTTACAGCGAACCTTTTTCCTTTCAGCTTCCGCGACTGTATCCGATCTTTTTCATTCACTCGCGACTCCATATCTTAACGAGTATGTCGCGTAAAATAAACAAATGAAAATTGAGGCTTGAATGGAATGACAGGTCGATTCGTGATTGCAGGAGCGAGAATCTCGTTCGTCTAGGCGAATGGGTGGAGGTGCGAGTGTCGAGAACCGGACGTTTGGCCTCGCTCGAGGTCGAGGACGATCCTCCGCAGGAAATCCTGGCGCCAGGCGCTTTCACGCAGCTATCGTTGCCGCTAAATCTTTACTTGGGCGGCGCGCCGTCCACTGACATGTACTCGCCGAAGATGAAAACGACCGCAAGCTTCGTGGGCTGCATTCAGACGGTCATTTTGAACCGTCGAGAGGTAAGAAACTTCGCCGAGACACGTTTCAGACGTGCAAGAACATCTCGAGGGGAAGTAGAGCCGCGGAGTACGATTTCACTCGAATTTTATGAACAAAAATGAAATATTAACTTTTCTTCGATATTTCCTGGAGTTTCTTCGAATTTACACACACTGCAAGAAATATGGATTTTGTATGAAAAGATTCTCTTGTCGTTGTTTACGTAGATTCCACGTGAACCACGTAACGCGGACAAAAGTGAACAAAGAACGAAAAGGAAATTGAAAATAAGAAATGAAGTGTAGTTAAAGGGTTCAACGAAGCTCGAGGATATTTATTAACGGCTCTAACGATTCCATTCGGAGGAAATTATCCTGCAGAACGGCCGGACATAAATATTTGTACGACGTTAAACTGTATGAA